TAGAAAAAAAATTAATTTAAAATCTGAACTTTATGGGTTTTTCCACCTAAATTTGGTGACTAACGCACCTACTGTTGGTACCAATTGGATACTAACAGTAGGTGGAGATTTTCCTGTTCTGGTATTCACTCATTCTGTGTGCTGCTGCAGGGAGAGCCTCACTACACCTACAATATAAAATAATTTAAAAGGCCAGGAGAAGTGCCTCTTGAAATTGCCTCCAGAGACTCTAAAAGACAACAGAGTTCAACAGCTTATTCAGCATGCCGGCATCTGAAAACTGCAATATCAGTTGTAGGTGGATAGACACTTCAACAAAGCAAGCATTAAATGTTCATGGCCCTGTATTTTGGAAATCTCACACTTACCATATAATTACTGCTTAATTTCTGTGCAGCTAATATACCTTGTGGGCAACCAATTTTCTCTCAGTGCATTACTGGATTAATTGACATTACTGCACAGGTACTTTTAATTTCTTATTGCACAAAAAAGATCAACTTGACATTCTAGAAAGCCACAACTCAGAGAAAAGGGATTCAAAATTCTGAGGACAGAGTTATTATTTGAAGTTCAGCGTTTATCACCACCATCAAGTGTTTATCACCACTATCTGTAACAATCATGCACACAGAGATGGGCATGGTCATCCATTTTGCTCCAAACCTCTGCATTTTGGTATCTCTCTCCTAAACAAATCAGTCTCCCTCCTCCGATCTCCCCCCGCCCTCAGGAATGCGGTTGGTGTATGTTTGCTGAGTTCAAAAAACCTGAAATCCCTGCCTTTACACAACCCTCTTCCCAAATAAGGCAATTGGCTTTCTGTTGTAAGAAGACACCAGCTGATTTTGGTAGAAATAGACTGTTATGCTTTGTGTGTGTGTGTGTGTGTGTGAGAGAAAGAGAGATCTTCCTGCGTTTAACATCACTAGCAGAGGGAGATCAAACGCATCCTTGAGCTCATAAGACTGGAAACTGCTTAACCCAGGGTTTTTTGGCAAGTACTTATCTACCTAAACGTCTTTCTGTTATCTGTTTGCTGTGCTATTGTTCTCTGTATATTTATATATATATTGGTTACATCTTTTTTCTGTAAATATTTTTATTGCACCCTTTTGACCTTTTAGTAATAAATCTTTCTTTCTGAAAGTGTTGAACTGTTTCTATAGCTCGTTAATGCAACTTACGAATTCCTGCCTCTAAAATAGCGCTACTGTGTTTGTTTAACCCTCTGTATAACCTGTCTGCGGTTACAGTGCTATACAGATGATTATCTCAACCATCATAGTGTTATTGCTGATATTGCCGACTTTCCTCTTTCTCTGTACAAAAAGGAGGTGGTGGCAGTGTGAAGGGTTAATTGCATAATTAACCTGACCCAGTAACAATCGCATTCAGGCTGCCGGTACATTGATTTGTGGTCCATTAGCTGGAAAATCGTTGCACAGGGTGCAGCTGGGCGTGGCATTGTTACGCACGTGACGTCGCAGTTTCAGAGGGCTAGTCCTTCGGTCACGAGTTTGGTGAGAAGGTCAGGGGTCTGACGCGCGGTAGTCACACTATCCATCAATTAGTGTATGGCCAATAAAGAATATGGGAACAGACAGGATCTGAAGCAGCTATGCATAATATCCAGTCAGCTTCTATCTTCAGCTTATTGAGCTAGCTTTGAAAATAAAAGCTAAAAGCTGATTGGTTGCCATGCACAGATGTTTTAGATTGTGATTGTAGATTGTACAGATTGTGGCAATTTTCTCCAGTTAAATTCTCAGAGAAATTGATCTGCACTGTTAAACCCTTTTAAACATACTCACAGATCATTCCTAACCACCCTTTCAACATTTTCACAGTTTTCACTTCTTTCTCTCTGATTTGCTCAGGAAGTCAAATAGTAATAAAAATGTATTTTTCCCAAAGCAAAACTCTACTCAAGACATTTTAAGATGTGGGCGCAGAGACAGTGTTGAATCTCTTCTGTGTTTTTACGATCATGAGATACCCCAGTGGGGAGAATCCCACACAACTCTACTGTTACAGTCAAGGCTTAGGTGTTTGGAGAATTTTATGGTTCACCTCTTGGAAGTTCACTTATGATACAGTGAACAGGGGTACAGGGACAAACCAGTATTTCAGAACCACTGGCAACCTAATGTATTCTTCACCAAAATATACAGAAAATACATTCCAGATAAGGTAACTCAACATGTCACCTCGAACAAAAGCTGCAGTGGTTACGATAAATGCTTACATCTAAATAACAGTAAAGACCTAAGAGTGGATTTAACCCTGCCCTTCTAGAAAAACTTTTGGGCAGATTTTCACTTTAGTGTTAAGGTGAACCAAGTGACTTTGGATCTCTGTTAAGCAGCATCACATCTGGGCCAGAAGTCATATTCTATGTCATTTACAAATGTGGAATAGTGTAATATAGTCACTTGCTCTTAGCATACTTTATTTGTAGGAGATAAGGACAACAAGCTTGCATGACATTACATGTTAGAACATTTAAGTTGATAACAGGGGCGGACTGACAGCTCATGGGGCCCCCGGGCAATAGGGGATCATGGGGCCCCTGTGTCCTTGCACAAACTCAAAAAAGCCTATGAAAAAGGTACCAGGGGCATCTCATGGGGTCCCCTACTGACCCCAGGACCTCGGCAGTGCCAGAGTTTCCAAATGGTCAGTCCGCCCCTGGTTAATAATGATGTGCAATAAATTGCCATAATATATCCTAACACTGGACCTGAGCTCCATTAGGCTCCTTTTATTTTCAGATTCTAATCCAGAGTCTATTCAGAATCTGCATTTGTTGTGATCCTATTTTGACTATTTTTTGGTAATTTTTAAAAAAAAAAACTGTATTTGGAATGTAGGGTTTCTGATACAGTTAGTACAGCAACATGAATATGTAGAGTTAATAAAAATATTTACTGTTTGTGCATCCCATCTTTTCTTTATGGCAAGCTTTATCTCCCTTCCTGCCATAGTTAGTATACTATTCTAATACATTTAATTTGGCATTACATTTGGCTGCCAACTGTGTCCCCGAAGGTTGTGACCAACTGCACTCACATATATGAGATATCTAGCAGATGTGGCTGCAAATAACCAGATCAGAAGACTGTCATGATAGAGACTTAATGAGACCTTTTTTGTGGAATAACTAAAGAACTGGCTGTGGAAGGTAAGAGACCATTGCCTCTTATTGCATCTTAGCTATATTATAAATATACCAGTAGGTGCACCTACATACTATTACCTTTTACATTCATAGTCCCTTTCATTGAGAATGCTAAATGCACTGAAAAAATATTTGATCATTCTTAATATATTATAATTACAAAAAACGCAATCAAACATGCAGTTATATAATAAACCCAAGTAGTGCACTGTGAGAGAAACATTTATTTTGTTAAAACCTACCTTCATTATAAACATTTTGTAAAACACTGAAAAGGATCATGCATGTTAATAAAACAAAGGAAAGACATACTGATAAATACACCAGATAGAGGCCAGGTTCTAAAACTTTGCTTGTGCAACGTGGAGCATTCCATACTATCTACACCAACTCCAAGCAGCCACCGTAAAGCTTAGAATGTGACCAAGTCTATGGTTGGTTGCTGCAGGATGGGCCTGCAACATTCTACATGAATTCCTTTCCGTTTAAAATTTTCCTAGGCATAATGTATTATTATTAAATAGGTCATACAGTATATTAGGTAGGTTTAGATATAACTGATTCAAGAAGTCAGTTGTCAGAAAGCATGAGGAATTTGATACAATGTGAGCAAACCGTTTGACTATTCCTAACAGGAATCAAAAGGACTGTTTCACAAAAAAAAAAAAAGGAAAAAAAATTAGCACAAAACTGGAGTTCTTGTACATAGATATGAAACAAAATTCTTGTTTACTTTTTCTGTATAATGATATTGGTTCCTATGGGCAACTACTAAAATCCTGTGCTCATTTTCTTTTCTCCAATTTTATGAATCAGCCCTAAAGAGTCTATTGGTCATCTCCTCTGTATAATAAAACTAAAATGTACATAAAATGTATTTGCTAATTTAGCACCCCTTCTCAAAAAACGCAATATTAGGGAAGCAAGCAAATGGCATTTGCAGAGTTCCTGATATAAAATGTACAAGCACAAGACTTTATAAAAGAACCCGGAATAGAGGCACTTGGAATGGAACAAACTTGATTGGCCAAAAGTCTCAATGCTGCTGATCGTTGTCCACTATGCTTTACACCTGTATTCAGAATCAGCTCCTCTGTTCTTTTCTCAGCTAGCCGGATCTGCAAAAGCTGAGCAAACAACAAGAGATATTGTGGACAGTCAGTTTAAAGCACCAGCTCCTCACACTTAATGTCGCAGAAATATATAAACTGCATTAAACATACCATTAAAATGCCTTCTTCTGTCTTCTGGTCTGCAGTAAATTCATCCAAGGAGAGCTAAAAATGTTAGTTATTGTGCTTTTTTAATTTGTATAGCAAACTCAAAATGAAAAGACAGAAGAACTGTAGGAATGACCAAAAGGCAAACTGCAATATAAGAACCTGTATTCTGTTAGAGCCCCTTGCTCTTATTGACTCCTGTTTTGCTCTCATAGTTAATAATAAATGTTTAGGTACTTTTTTGGTAATTATGTAATTTTTTGGCCTTGTTTAAGGGACTGGTGCTTTAATCAAAATAATCTCTTCTCCACCATCCTTTCCTTTGTCATTAAAACTAATATTGGCATTGCCTATTTGGGCAGGATTGTCTTTTGGCCAACAAGAAGACAATCAAGACAAAGGTCAAATTAAAATGAACGATCAAGCATTAAGGAGAAAAGGTGCCATTAGACTGCAGGAGAACTGGTTTGAGCATATGACACAAGTAGCATGTAATGTTATACATTTTCATGCATAACATTACCTCAGATATTCTTCCTTGCAAGTTGCTTTTCTGCTTTTCTTCTTTTGAAAGCGGCTATCTCATCCTGCAGCAAACCATGACCCATTTGCCTGTGAACGATATCAAAATAGTGACGTAAAAATAAAAAAAACATAGTTAGATGGATAGCAAGAGGATATCCTGCTCCGGGACCACATGGTCTCTCCGCTTACCCTGACTTCAGCACTGGCGGGACAGGTAACGGTTTTCTAAAACCTTCTTTTCCAACCAGCCAGAATGTCTCTTCAATACCTTTACCCTTATCCAAAAGAGACAAAGGACAAAAATTACCAGAAGGCTTTAGAGGAACTCTGTTGTTCCACCCAAACTGGGCTAATAAGCCTTCATTCCAATATAGAAGACAAAGCAACACAAATACCACTATTTCAGATATACTAGAAACTGTTAAGGAAACCACTTTCCCTAAAATAAACTTGTAGGGAGTTAAAGTAGAGTCCACCATTTTTGTGTTTTCATTTTGAAAATGCTAGTTGCCTTGCTGTCATGCAGTTCCAATGGCTTCAGTATTTTCTGAAGCACTGACTTTAAACAACTTCACAGATCAGGAGTGACCTCAGTCTGATTTTCTTATCCGACTCTTCCTCCTAGTCATTGACCACAGTAATGAAGCCATAGACAGCCAGGCAACTAGTATTCTTAGAAGGAGATCATCAATGGCAGCGAATATTATTATTTCACTGCAGGTTTCCTTTAATGAGACAATGGTCTTAAATTCAGAGCTGGAAACATATTGCTAGCTTGATATTTATGATGATGATTTGATGGCCATATTATGGTATGGTACAAAATCAATAATTTCATCTTCTCGTAATCAACTGGGTCAGACTATCTGCATTTGGTAGTTTGCCCCATGACACCACTTTAGCACTCTCCAAGAACTCATTTTAAAAGCCATATATATTCATATGGTGATCTTTGTATTTCAGTTATAAAAACAGGAGTGTTCTTAAATTCTTTCTTGGAAACTATTTTCAGATGTACAGGAGAGGTTCTCTTAATAGATTCAACATAAAGCAGGTTATATACAAATAACAAAACATGGCTCATCTGAATGATTAAATGGAATTCTAAAAGCCTTTGCTGGGTCAGAAAAAATAAGCAACAGTCAAAAACATAGCAATATTCTGTTCCTATAGTAATGAGTATTTAGCAACAATTGAGAAGTCTGTCTTTAAATAGTTGATTGTCTCTTTCTCTCAACAGAGACATTTTAAACAACTCATAAAATAAATCAACATGCAAGCTTTAGAAGATGACTTGTAAAAAAAAAGATAATATTAATATGTTATGCCAAGTTCCCTTTAGTGCTGGTCACACATCTGCAATCTTACAGGATCCCTATAGTCTTACATGGTCATCAAGATTTCTGCTAAAGAGAGGGTCTGTCCAATCTGAACTCAGAAATTCCCCCTAAACAGAGAATACACAATACATGACCAATTATGCCATCAAGTTTGTGGTCAGTACTGAAGGGAACCTCTCCAGGTGAGAATATATAACCATACAGAAACCTATTAAATTTCGCATTGCACATACTGCAGACATTCCTATTGTCCATTCTATAGCCACATCACTGGCTACATAAGATAAAAATAAATCTCACAGCTGCATGCATTTTAGTGGGATAGCCCTGGTTTTCAAAATTAAAGAGTTGGGGGTGACCTTATCCCCAGTTTCTTTGAGCTGATAATTAACAATTCAATCCTACAGCAGCTTTTTAAATTAATATTGTGACCAGTACTGTATATGGTAATCATATGAACACTACAATACCTATTGTCTACATTATCAGCAAGTGTCTGCACTGTGTTCATGACTACATGTCTGTGAAGTCTTACAATTCTCTGAAAACGGACCCAAGCACAAATCAATTTAGTGATATCTTACAAGAAGCAGCACATGTTTTGCAGAAACACAAGTCACTTACCTTTAGCTCTGTCCTTCCTCTTAATTCCAATAGGTATCCTTCATTTAAAGATCTGAGTGTTTTCACAGTGCTCTGATTGACATGGATTCGATAGGCTGGAGAGGAAACAGGCATTGCATTAAAGTTTTATAAGATTGTTCTGTATTTTTTATTACTTAACCTGAGCTGCTATATAAGTATCAGAAATACATCTGCAATCATATTGCAGTTTTTTCATTATTCTATAACAAAGTAGAAAACCAAAGAAATAATGTAAAGGGGGCTTAAAATGTCAAAGGCGCTCTTCTGTCATTTATGAGGCCTAGGAATACTTTGACGTAACCAGCAGTTTGTGTTATGCTTTCAGATTTCAGCCCATTCCTTGTCACTATGGCTATACATTTTGAGTTATGTAGATCAGTGTTATTTCAACTATTTACAGCATTTTTGCACGTTTGAATCATGTTTTTTTATTGGGCTCCTCTATGCACATGAATGCAAAAAAAAAAAAAGAAAAGAAAAAAAAAGTGCCAGCATGATTTGTAAAATTGTGCTGCAGCAAAACACAAGCTATGTTATGGTACCACGCGTTTTAACAGGTGCTAACAAACATGGATTTGCTAGATGCGTGGGGGTGCACTAAGAATTAATGACACCCACGTGCATCTGCAAAAGGCAGAATATTTTTGTGCAGTGTGGGAGAACATGGGATTTCACACACATTCCCACGCTGCATCTGATGTGAACAAGCCCTAATATGTAGTTTGTTTGGCAGAGCTCAGTGGTTTGTAGGTTGTAAATCCTCTCCACCCACCCCCAAATCCCCCCTCCTAGCACACATTCTGTTCCTCTTCCCCCCTGCAAATCCCTTCTCCTAGCACAAAATTTCTCAGTCCAAGCACAAATGTTACCCTTCCTCATTTGTGTCCCCAGTACAATCTCCCACCCCCCACCTCTGAAACTTACACAGGAAAACTGGCTACAGGAGTAGTGACAGCAGCAGAGAGCTTGGAGGAGGTGTGGGCTGTGTTCCACCTCCCCCCCAGCTCCTTTCCATCCTATCTGTATACAGAGATGAAATAGAAAGTTCTCAGATCAGGACTGTACAGGAATTGATTACAGTCCCCTTATCCACAATTTCTGCTGGAGCAGTTTGGGAGGAGATAGGAGGAGGTAATCAAGCCCTGTACAGTCTGATCTGACAGCATTCTGGTTTTAACTCCTGTATACAGACAGGAGGGAGAGAGAAAAGTCAGCACCTCCTCCCGGCTCTCTCTTCTGTGCTGCTGTCACTACTCCTGTCAGCAACCCAGAAAGCTTTCATGCCAGTTTAAAAAAGCACCAGACTGGTGCCTCTGTTAAAAAAATGGCTGAGCTGGGAGTGAAAAATGTTTAATGGAACTGCGTGCCTTAGTTGGGGCAGTTTTTTTACTGTGACACCCATGAGGACTCGGCACCCCGGTTGAGGAATGCTGCTGTAGATAACAGTAACAAGCATTTAATTTAACAATACACTTTGCAGTGTACTAGTAGGCAAAAAGACAAAAAATATAGCCATAACAGGTGAGAAAAAAAAAATTATATTGGACTGGTTACTATGGTTTATGGCATAGTAAAAATAATAATATATAATTAATTCAGGTAGAAAAGTAAAACTCACTCATATAGTCAAATACATAAACAAGAAATACATTCTATTAAAACAATATGATTCATATCAGATGTATAATTTATATGGAACAGTCGAATGCAGAAAATATGACAATGGAACAGCATCCTGTTCAGTCTCTAAAAACACAATCTGAATAGTTTTGTGTTACTCAGTAAATACCAACAGACAAGGAATATCAACTGTTCTGTAACTTTATGCATAACAGTATAAATAATAATGTACAAATGCTCAAATACATTTTATGTAATATTTTCTAGCTATATTTATTGACCAATCACCAGATTATGTAATTTTGACAATTGAATGGTCTTTGAATCAGTTGTTTGTACTCACGTAACCCTGTTGATTCCATCCGGGAAGCAGTGTTTACTGTATCCCCAAACAGGCAGTACCTTGGCATTGTCAGGCCTACTACACCAGCTACCACAGACCCTAGAGAAGGAAGCATGGAAGCGTAATATACAGACATGTTTTAAATAAACAATTTTAATATAATATTGGTCTTACTGATTTTTTAAATACTGTATTATTTACCGTACATATTCATCATCAGGCATACATATGAAAAATGTCATTTTACATATGGTCATCAAACCACTTAGGCATTCTAACAAAGAGTGCAAACAATTGTATAAAATAAGTGGATGAACAGCAAATATCAAAAGTCTATAAATGTATTATTATTAATGAATTATTAGTTACAAATTGCAAGCAATAACCCCTAGCCCAATAAAAAAAAAAAAAAAAAAACAAACCCACTTCTAAACCATAACCGCATACTTATTGAAAACAGTAGGCTCTCTCTGTAATACACACACTGGTAAATGTTTGTTTCATCTGTGTTTGTGGAAAACCTTGGACTTTATGAAAAGCAATATCAAAATTGATAAACAAACCAATACTGGGGCCCTGTTCACAATATTGTATTGAGAAAATGCGCACATCCCTGTGTGTGTTACTCTAACATGAGGCACCACGCATTACTTGTGATGCAGTGCCATTCATTCTGAATGGCACCCAATGCAGCTTACATCTGAGGTGCAATGCTGGGCAGCACAACACACTAATGTACATTCCAGTGCAGTCTGTTGTCAAAAAAAGTGCAGGTCTGATTTTTGGGCTGCTGGGGTGTGTTGCAGCCCATTCATTTTGAATTGGCTGCCTAATGCTTTGCACATAAACATGTGAAAAAAAAATGTGTTTTAATGCAATGCACCTCAGAAGTTACTGAAGGTGTATGTTCAGGCTCTGCAATATGCAATAGTAAACATCAGGGCCTAACCTAGTCTATATGATTTGGGGGTGCAGTAAAATATGTTGGGGGACATGTCTGATGTAACGTCTTACAGGTAGTGCAGGAGTGAACAGGGAAGGAAATATGTAATAGGCACCCATTAGATTATTATGATTAAACAGAACTGTGCTCCCTTATATCAGGAATCCTCATCACCCCCAGTTCACATCTATGTGGCCGCGCAGGCCGCGTTTTGCACTGGCACGAGAGCCAATTTATTTGAATGGACTCCCGCGCCTGTGACACGCAGGGAAAGACATCCTTGCATTTCTTTGGAAAACGCAGCCCGCACGGGAACCTCTTTTTCCAGTGCGGGCGGAGTGCCATTAGAACTAATGGCACCCACCCACGGGTCCGCATTTCTCTGTGCGGATCTGTGCAGATCCGCAGTGGCACCACCCACACAGATGTGAACCTAGAGTCAGAGTTCCCCCTTACATCAGGTGTCCCAATCAGTGTGCCCCTTTACATCAATTGTCCTCTTCAGAGTGCCCCTTACATAAAATGCCCACATGAGAATTCCCCCTTAAATCAACTTCCCCCTCAGAGTGCTCCCTTACATCAATTGCAGAGCTCACCCCAGCACCCCCCATAGAACCAAGCCTAGTAAACATGTAAAGAGTAAAAGAATATCAGAGCTGTACTATAGAGAAAATATGCATGTATTTGCTAAGGTGGAAATAAATGCAAAGCTCAGGGAGACAAATAAAAGATTAGGTAATGTAGAGAGAAGTTACCTGTAATAACAAAATAACATTCCATATAATCATGCAAATATTTGAAGAGCAGACCACCTTCTTTGCAAGGGGCAACATTAAAGTATATCTAAAACAAAAACTTTTCAGATAGAGTATGGTTCTGTTAAAACTATGTCAGGGATTTATTTATCTCTGTGTCCAAGGCTCTGTGCCAGCTGGGAGGTAAACCTATCGGTACTTACATTAGGAACAGTATGCACTCATTGACAAATGCCAGGAACACAAACTTTTTACATTCCAGGCATTTATTCCCATACACATACTGCTCTAAACATAAGTACCGCTAGCTGCATTGTCCAGCTTCATCCAGCCAAAGCAACTGTTAGCCTCTCAGAGGCTGACAGGCTGACAGCAGTAGTGTGGACATTGTACCTATGCATTCCACCCACTGCTAAACTAGGGTTGTCACCTTATACCTTTAAAACCCAAACACATTAATTACACAGGTTCTGTGACTGATTAATTTGAAACTCACTTAGTGCCTTATCTGCATTAAATTAGCCACAGAACCTATATAATTAACATGTGTTTGGTTGTAAAGGGATGAAGTGGCAACCCTACGCTAAACACTGGAGCACCACACACCAGGGCTAAACAGTGTAAATGGGGTATAATTGGTGAGATGTCCCTTCACTTCCTGTCCCAGAGACACATAAGGAAGTGAGAGCTAATGTATCCAAAGTGAAAATAAATATTTCCTTAAACAGTTATCCCCTGAACAGGTGCCCACATTGGCTCTGAGGAAGAGACTAAGTCCTCGAAACGCGTTAACCAGGTGGTCATTCAGGGTTCCATTGTTGTGGACTCAGATGCTATATGGATTGAATACCGCTGTTCATTGTGATGTGCCTGTGTTTTTATATGTCTATTGTGAGTATGATACCTACTGTTTATTCTTTCTTTAAATATTTTTTACGATAATGCACTAGGCCGGTGCGCCCTCTTTTTGTTTTTCTTTGGCATTCAGTGATTTTGGACTACCCCTGTCCATTGAGGGTAGCAAGGAGTGCATATTCCAGGATACTTATATTGTCACCCTAGCCTCTGCGGAGTCCAACCCCAGCGCAGGAGTACAGAATTTGCTGTGTTTGAATTGGTAAATGTATTCCTAACTCCTTTTTCAGAGATGACCCTAACATTTATAGTTTTCCACAATTATACTGCATCTCCTAATAACAACAGTCAACTGGACAAATAGAGAGGGTGAATATCTCCAAGTAGGGGCACAGACAGCAATAAAAACTTGGTAGAGAATATGCTTCCTCACTGTATTCAAAAACTAAAGAAAAAAGTTTTGGCATTAAGTACATTTTAAGCAAATTTTAAGCAATATGTTTATCTGGAAACCTATTGCAAATATCTGACATTTTCTAGGTTTATTAGGCCCATGCCTGTGTTAGTACAAATCATTGTTTACTTGGATCTTCTCCTATGAAACCAATATAAGATCAGAAGAGGTATAGATCTACAGAAATTGGTTAATTGACTGTCCACTAACAAGATTTTGCTTGTAAAATGGGGATTTACTCTTTATCTATGAGAAAATACTTTACCTGAATGGAGGCCAATACGTATCCTAACAGGGACATCAGGCATATGTCTCATTTTGAAAGATCCTACAGAGCTGAGGATATCCAGGGACATGTTAGCAATCTCTGCTGCGTGCCTGTTCCCATTCCTCTTAGGAAGGCCTGATGCGACCATATAGGCATCTCCTATTGTCTCTACCTGTGATTACAAAACCCATGACAGAACAATCATATATGAAGGCCAACAAGATGTAAAATCAGCATGTAATATGTATTAATTCACTCTCTCTATTTTTTCCAAAATGTAACGTTTGAAACACATCATTTTAACACACATGCATTTTGCAGCAGCCATCAGCAGTATACATTCTACACTGCAAGTTCTGGGCTAAGAAATTTAACAAATAGCTTACTGGGGAATGTTTATTTTATTTTGCCCAATGTGTTAGGGCCTATTCACACCAGAAACTGCAAGTAACTGTGCACATTTTCTGTGTACCTATGCATGTGTTTACATGCAGTTGACTTGTGTTTTCTATCTTCATTTCTCCTGTGAGGTTACTTCTTTCTTTGGGCTTCTATGCGCAGTGTGATGCGTTGCACTGCATTTGCATGCATTTTTGTGGGGCGAAAAATGCAGCATGTTATACTTTTCCACACTGTGTTGCACTGCAGTGGTTTGAACTATGTCCATAGGATAGCCTGGATTTTGGACTGTCTATGCAGTTGGGGTGCAGTCCAAAATGCAGCAAACTGTATTCCACTGCGTTTGGTTTGAAAGGGCCCTCAAACTAAAAAAATCTGAAGGTTTCATTCTACTTTAAGGGGAATACTCTACATAGATAAAAACAGGTGGTTTAGCTCATGATAATGCCTTTGAACAACAGAGGGTACATTTCAAAAACAGGGACACAAAATAATAAAAACATTACAGGGGATTTAACTCTTCCTTATTCAATCTCAAATTTAAAAGACAGACAAATAGACAATAGATCAGTGCTCCCAAGTGTTTAAAAGTTTTTGCATTGTCTGAAGGCTAAATGTTGCCATATGTACCTGTTTTTAGCTGTACTAGATAGTATTGCTAAATCACACTTCTGCATTATTCCATGAGGATTCATCATCACAAGTGTACCCTTAATTTCGCCCTATCAGGCAATCTGGTATATGTGGTCTAGCAGGTGTGGGGGTTCAATCAACAGTAACTGCCGATACTGGAGTGAGTGCATTCTCCATCATCTCTATTACACCATTCATCTGATTCCAGGTACTAAGCCTGGCTTGTACCATGGGGAGTGTGTGCATATATATATATATACACACATACACATACATACTTGATAAATGGTGCACATCCCACAAAAAGTGAAATGCTGGAATATACCAAGAATTTAATATATTGTCTCTTACTCACATACAGGTGGACACAGAAATGCCAATTTAAAGATATGTACAAGTACACATCGGAATTTAAGTATTATAAAGTAATGCACTAGTTACTATTATGAACATATAATTGTTTAAGTAGGACATTAATACAATGTAAATTAAATGTAATTATGGGATGACAATATATATTTTTGTTACTCTATTAAATGAAATATTTCTAAACCTAAATAATTCACAGTAATTAGGAAACAATGTCTAAATTTAGAATTGCATCAAAACATTATAAAATAACTTTATTCAATTCCTGTTTGCCTATTCTTGAAACACAGGTTTTTAAGCTCTGTAATAGGTTATATTGATTGCTTAACCTTTCTGAATTTGCATGTATGTAAACATACATTAAAGGCACATGTACATTTCATTTACTTTTAATAAATGAGAATGAGGTATCACAAAACCGATGGTCCAGCAAATACAGTATAAAGTATCTGGATAAACAAATGCCCCATTTAAATGCTTTACACTGTGTTCAGCCAAACAACCTATAAGAAGGGCAATGTGGATGTCTGTACCCTCAGCCCCCATTCACACTTGAGGGTGGCATATTTAGGCAATTTTGAAGTGCCATACAAGAGCTTCTTTGGTGCAGAATTGTGTTTTTGGCCCCATTGACTTATATGTAGCTTGTGTAACGTGTTGAGCTACAGACACCTGAATAGGATTAACTTCGTTAGCTACAGACACCTGAATGAGATTGACTTCTTGAGCTACAGACACCTGAATGAGATTGACTTCTTGAGCTTCAAGCTACAAAACACCCAGGTGTGAAAGGGGGCAAAATCAAACTCATATTTTCTAGCTATTCCTGTAGTTTTCTAAGAAGGATGCTAGCTATAAAATTGGTATTAAAATGTGTTACAATATGTTCTTTTTGCTCATACATCTAAAAAAATGAATTGGGGATTGATCATTTTTAATGTGATCTCAAATTTATCAAATTTCCTGCCATCATTACAGACAAGTAATAGCTCACCTTATATACATCATGATTTCCTATGACTGCATCAAATAATGTGTACAGATCATTGAGAAGGTCAACTACCTCAATGGGCTCACTCATGGCTGATATCGTGGTAAAACCCACTATATCACTGAAGTATAGGGTAACCTCATCAAACCCTTCAGGTTCCACTGTGCAGCCTGTTTTCAGCGCTTCTGCCACAGATCTGAAAGTCAAGGCATAGAAAGAAGACATGTCATGAATAATGTTGGGAACCACAGATTGTAATGTAACCTTTTTCTGCTGGAAATATTTAGTGTGTGCTTTCCCAATTAAACACTTTGAATTATCATGTTTTTTCTTTTTTACAAACAGCACGATGATATTTCAGCACTGCTGGAGAAAAGTTTGTCAGCCTAAGTTACTACTTTATTGCGGTGATGTACTGTGATAAGCAGCAATGAAATATAACTGTGATGTGAAAATAAAAGGTTGTAGAGAAGTGAAGGTTTTTTTAAGGATGAACACAGCCATCCGTGGGGGGAAACCTTTGATCTCAATAGATGGAGTAATAGGTTATTCTTCCCACATAGGTGAATTAAAAATAAAAACACATTGAAATCCCGTTATAATTATTTTTATTATAGAAAGCTGCCTACATAACAGTATTAATAAAGCTTAAAGAGTAAATTTTTTTTGCAGAGAAAAACATATAATTGGTTTTCTTTTTCATGCTGCAAACATTTTTGTAATAGGCTAAGTATAATTCTTTTTGCTGGGGTGCATTGCGTTAATGCATGCACATTAATGCACATTTTTTTCATGTGTTAACATGCTGCACCTCAACATCCCAAAAAGTAGATATGCACATCTTTTCTCAGCGCACTGCAATGCATGTCTATTGGCAAAGTGCATTGGGATGCCATTCAAAATGAATAAAAGAGGAAAACTGCTAACACTCAGCGTTATACATATCGCTTGTTAGAATCAAGGGAGAATGCTCCTGTCATCCCAGCAGTCTCTTTTGGGAGTAGACTTTGCACTGGTGACTTTAATGAGTGCAAATTTATTTTCATTTTAACAAACGCTGTTGAATAAATCCTGCCACACCATTGGCGGCTTGGAGCCTCTTTCTCCCCTTCCCCTTCTTTCATTCAAAATAAATGACCCCCCACATTCTACCAACACAAGTGACATGTGTTGTGGTAATGCCCACATTAAGGCGTACCTTACCATCAAGTGTGAACTGAGATTAACCTCTGCTTTCATTAGGACTGATTTACATCTGTGCATTATGGTAGCACATGCATTATTGCGCGCATTACTGCAACATATATTACATGTGTTGATGCATTGCCTTGCCATGAGTTTTGAATAGCACCTCAGTGAATTAATGCGTTGGTTCTCAACCTGTGGCCCTCTAGCTATTGTGGAACTGCAAGTCCCATGAGGCATTGAAAGATGCTGACAGTTACAAGCATGACTTCCAAAGACGGAGGCATGATGGGACTTGCAGTTCCATAACAGCTGGAGGGCCACAGGTTAAGTAACCATGAACTAATGCAACACATATTTGTTGCAACACGATGCAAAGTGTGGCAATGCACCATAGTGCATTCCGGTAAACATGACATTTTCAATACTTGGAACATATAGGTGTTATTAAGCCAGCAGAGTTCAGCAGGCTGCCTCAATGCAATGTACGTTAATGCATAACATTAATGCAGTACACAAATGTAACTGGGTGCTAAATGTGACAGATCAGAGGTAAATTGATGTTTATGGCATCATTGGCATCAGTTTTCCTGTATTGAAACATTGCTGTCCTTTTTTCATCTGTCTTTTGATGGATGAAAAATGTACAATGAAAGCACCATGTGAAAGGGGTCTAAAACTCAATGAATTTGGTGTGGCATTTGTGTGCCACAAAAAACAATGTCTCTGGGGACACTGGATGTGTTCTTTCCTTATTCATCTGTACACCAAAAAACAGTCCTATAGGTGATTATAAATTCCCCAGATGATCAAGGGGGGGGGGCCTTTCTCGATCTTTATCACGGTGATAAGGTACTTTTGTGCATAAATTATTTCAAAGTTGTTTATATAAATTAAACCACTCACGGAGGTAACATTTGTGTTAGGAGCTTTTCAGTTTTCTGTTTTTCTATCTCCAGTTCTTCTGTTCTTTCACGTATTAAATCTTCCAGGTTACTTGAATATTGTTCCAACATGCGCAGCATGGAATCAATAATGTTTGTTTTCTTTCCTTTATTGATGTTTTTGAACTGTGTTGTTCAGAAACAAAGAAAAAATAGGTTTTTAACTGAGCCTGCAAGATCTAAAGTGACAACATGTAATACACCTTCCATTTTTAATTAAATGTAGTAAACAAGAATTCAAATTACTCCACCTCATCCTCTAGGCCAAGTGTCTTGTACCAACCATTCTAACCTCAGTTGGGGTAGGGGGATACTGGTTAATTTTACTAGGCTGAAACAGACACAATGCCTGTTTTGTTGTCTTTCATTTTATTTTTGATACAAGAGTGTAATAACCAGGAGACTGGCTGAAACAATTGACCAGCAAAATAATATAAGGTCACAATGCAGTTTTGTTAGTATAATTTGAGAACGAACTGCTATATCTAGGGATGAATATTAATAAACATTTGGGTGGATGGTGATTGGTCTGACAATTAGCAAATGGAGGGAAGGGGAGGAGGCCTCAGTCATTAAAATATAGAGTATAATTTTTATTTAAGTAGAGGGTAGGATGTCAATTGAAGGGTCATTGGTTAGAAGCCTGTTTTTGTACCATTTGGTATATTGGAAACATTGTACTATGGATTGTTGAGTATTCATCCACAAGGTTTGAATGAAAGATTCCCAAACATTAAAGAATTCTTAGACCCATGACCCTTTACGTAGGCCCCCCACCCATTCCATGTGGAACACATGGAATAGTTTGTGTATAAACAAAGAAATAGTGGGGGTTCTTGATACCTGGGTTGTTGATTAGGCTAAAAAGTGCCCATTTATTGCTTTGAGGCAAGTAGTTTACTAAGTGTGTGGTAGCATAATGCTGAGTTTCAAAATCATTTAATCTTAGGAATGCCCAGAAGGCATAGAACAGGTCTGTGTCTAAATGTCCACATTTTAGACATCAAGAAGTGGAGCTTAGACCCATAAGATAAGAGTAAAATAAACACAGGGATTTTAGGAGGGTGTCAACTTGATGTTTGGGGAAATTCTTGGTACATTTGTTAAGACCAGGCAATGTAGAGGTGTAGTCCAGCTCCTGCTGGAGGAAATGATATAGGGTGGAAATAGCTTTTTCACCTGGGTTAAGATATTCCAAAATAATGTTCAATGAGTTTTCCCAGTCCTTCCGAGAATATTTTTTAATGGTAGAGACAATTTAAGATTTCACTTTTAGCAAGGGTTATTAGATAAGCATAGAAATTTCTTTAGGGCTATATTGGACGCAATGCCTATATTGTATCACTACTGTAATCAGGTACTTGTAGTACCTGTAATCAGCTACTAGAATAGTAAAGAAATGTGCCATCCTACTCTACCAGCAGCTTGGTTCTAGGTCAGTGGTCTCCAACTGTGGCCCTAGGGCTGGATTTGGCCCTTTGCTTGCCTTTATCCAGCCCTTGGGGAACTGTTCTTCCCACTGATGCAAGACACTGTTCTGCCAACTGACACCAAAAATGGGGCACCATTTCTGCCATTGACAGCAGTAATAGGGCACTCTTCCTCCCAATGATAGGACACTGTTCCTCCCTCTAATACCAAATGTGGCAATGTTTACTCCCACTGATGCCAGGAAAATTTCCACTCCCACTGGCCACAGTCCGGCCGCCCTAAAGTTTGAAGAACAATAAACTATATAGACTGTATAGACAGAGTCGATGGGCCACAAGTACTCAGTACACTGTTCCAGTGTTTATCAGCTAATGTCCTAAACTACCCCAAACTAGTCAAATTTCAAGGTTTCACTGGTCTGTACAGGTGATTTAACCACTTGCCCTCCTGAGGATTTACCTCCTTCCTGACCAGGCCATTTTTTTTGCGATCTGGCACTGCATTACTTTAACTGACAATTGCACGGTCATGCAATGCTGTACATAAATTAAATTTATATAATTTTTTCCCACAAATAGAGCTTTCTTTCGGTGGTATTTGATCACCTCTGTGGTTTTTATTTTTTGCGCTATAAACAAAAAAAAGAGACCGACAATTTGGAAAAAAAGAAACAATATTTTTTACTTTTTGCTATAAAACATATCCAGCAAAAAAAATAAAAAAAAATAAAATGTATTCTGCTCCATGTCTTTGCTAAATATAAATCCCAATAAGTGTATATAATTGGTGTATGTGAAAGTTATAGCATCTGCAAATGGCGGTATATATACTGGAATTTTATTTTTTTTTTATACTAGTAATGGCAGCGATCAACGACTTATAGCAGAACTGCAGAGGGCATTCTGACACTGGGTGGGAACTGACTAACTGCCACTGACATCCCCTTAGTGTCACTAGTGACACTAATACAGTGATCAGTGCTAATAAAAAGCACTGACACTGTACTAATGACACTGGGCAGCAGGAAGGGGTTAACATCTGGGGCGATCAAAGGGTTAACTGTGTGCTGTGTGTATTTTACATTGTGTGCTGTTTTACCTGGTAGACATGCTGCTTTGTATCTCTCTTCTGTGCAGAGAGATAAAAAAATGTCCATGCTGACAGAAGAGAGACCTGTGTTGTTTACACACAGTTCTCTCCCCTGTCAGCTTTGCTGATGATCACCAAGTGCCGTTGTACATAAAATCTCTGTGAAGGAACAGGTCATTGTCTTTTCTATGGAGAAAATGAACATAGTGCTTGCTGTGTCACTTTTACCCATCAGCTAAATCAGACAGAAGATTACAGGAAGTACCAACAATATAAGTTTGAAATCACAGGCATTTTTTCCTACAGCTTCTTTTGAGTTAGACATACTCAGCTATACTCATGTAGCTTCAGATACAGGCAACTTACTTGATCAAATATTTCATCAAAAGAAGGACGTCTGTCCGGCACTTCATTCCAGCACTGTTTCATGAGCACAATACACTCCATAGGAGCATGATC